AATTAGAAAAATGTTGTTAGAATTTCCAATTTTACCAAAAAAGTTTTGCGTCATACTATTTTTAAAACAGGAACAAAAAAAGAAAGGAAATTTACCCGTTTAGAAAGATGTGAAAAAAGAACTAAAAGTTTTCCCTTTGTTTATTTTTCCTTATATAAGAGTAACTTCATTAAGTACTTAACATGTGCCAGGAACTGTTGTAGGCCCTGAAGATACAGAATTAAAAAAATAAAATAATATATTCCTTCATGAAGCTTACAATTTTGATTATATACAAGGAAAAAGCAAGTAAAAAATAATGATATGTAGTGAGGAGAAAAATAAAATTAGAAAGTGTTAGGGGAATATACACTGAAATTTTAGATTACCTGGCTGGGAAAACTGTACAGAGAAATGGATAGGTCAACGCATTCAGACCTCTGAAAAAGGACATTCCAGGCAGATTTGAAGAGCAAACACTCTGAACTGAGAGCTGACTAGAATGTCAGAGGCAACAGGACATATGTAAATGAATTGGAAGGAAAGGGTAAAAAAAGAAATATTAATATTACCCAGGAGGGAAGTCCAAGGATATATGTGTAAGTAAGTACTTTGAGTTTTTACTCTGAGGCCAATAAAAAAATATTGGAGGATTTTTAGAAAAGGAAAAATTATTCCAGTCTAGTTTTAAATAGTGATGCTGGCTATGTTGAGAAAGACTGAAGACAAAGAATGAATAATGGAGACAAAAAAGATTTGCAATAACTCAGGCAGGAAAATGATTTGGACTAATGTGTGGTCCTAGAAATTGTAGTGATTAAATTTAGTGTACAATTTGAAGGGAAATCCAACAGTTGGTAGTGTTTTGGGTGGGGTGAGGTTTGGGGGGTATGGAACAAGGATGCCACCCAATGTTTAAGCCTATGAAATGGGAAAGACAGAGTTTTCATAAGGTGCAATGGTGAGACTATTACAATAAATTTGGGGGAGTTTAAGGATCAGACATTCAATTTTAGACATATTAAGCTTGAGGTGATTGTATGTCATTCAAATGGAGATGTTAAATGAGCAGATGGACATAAGTTTGGGGACAGGGAAGAGATCCAGAAAGGAAATATAAGCTTAGTGATGCTTTTTAAAGATAGAGAGTGGTTGCAATCACTAAGAAAGTCATTGTAGATGTAATGAGAATAGAGTTAAGAGCATATCTTTAGGTGATTATGAAGCTTATGTGACTTAAGGAGTAGCAAAACTAGCAAAGGAAAATAAAAGTAAAAAACCAGATATATAAGAGAAAAACTAGATGAATATGGTGGCTTGTAAGCTTAGACTAAAAAGTGAGTAAAAAAAAAAAAAATTGTCCTATCATTATATAATGATATATAGGGTGATATACCCAAGATCAAATATATGGATGTATATGAATGCAGGTGTGTATTTTCATTTAATAAAATGAGATTATCCTATACCTAATCTTCTAAAACCTGCTTTTAAAAATTAATTTATCATGGAAGAAATTTTTATATCACCTTTACTCATAATATATTTTATTTTTAAATTTTGTACTTTCTAGCATTATTAAAACAAAGTATCATGATGAACTTTTGTTTTGAACAAAAGCATAGTAGAGCAAAAATGTTGACTGTATTTAAAGTAACACTTGCTCTTTTCTATTTAGTTTAATTTGCAAAATTAAGAAACCAAAGAAAAACCAAACCAAGAAATAAAGGAGTAGAAACTGAAATAGGAATGTTTAGGGGTGAAAATAGGCAGGTTTATGAATTTTTTAAAAATTAAAGGTGGTTCATGGAAAAAACACAAGGCTGCAGAGTTGCAAAAAGGTAAGGGAATGGGTGCGGCAGAAGTTACATTTCCATAAGACAAGGGAAAGGCAGAAGTTATATTTCCATAAGATAAGGGAACTGGGAGTAGCCAAAGGTCTATATTTTCAAAATAAAAAGGAGGGTCTCATGTGTCCCATGTGAAGTTTGACCTTTGAGCTCAGGATTTGCTGTAGTGACCAAATCAAAGGGGACTAGTGACCAATCAGAGGGAATATGGAGGCACAAAAACTGCAGCCTTTATAAACCATGTAAAAAGGAACATGGTGGGCTGCTTTCCCCCTCCCCACATGGAAGCCTATGTTTATTCTTCAGTAAGTTTCCACCTTTTCAACACCATCTTCCATCCATGGTTTCATTCTTTTACTCCCATAGACAAAGAATCCAGGGAAACCATCCTGCCCAGAACCTCACATGTTCCAGTCCAAAAATCCTGTATCAAAACAAAACAAAACAAAACAAATATCAAATTCTTCTTGTTTCTATTTCAATTCATACATTTCATTGGATACTGATTCTTTTTTATTAGAAGGAACTAGCTTTGAATAGAACAGCTTATATTTTCTGCTTCTTCTTACCAGAGATAAAGTACTGTGTTTCTAAGAGTCTAATATTTGTCTGTTTCACAAAGACAAAGTCACCTATGAGGAAGATCCTAGATTTTCATTAGATAGGAGAGATGGAAAATAAATAAATTAACAGCAGCTACAATGTGTCACAATTAGCACTTTCAGGCAGCAACAATATGGTGCATTATTTCACTCCATCTGGAAAACATTGAATGAGTTGACGGCGTTCTGTAGAAGATATGAGTCGAGTGTCCTTGAAAGACTCTTCTCAATGCTCTCAGATTTCTTCCAAATGAGGGCACTTTTAAACAGTAAATTAGCTATATGACAGGATATTTCATCTACTACACCATAAGTAAAAATCAAATAAATATTATTGAACATTGCATAACAGAAACTGTGGTGGGCAGTTTATACTTTCTATAATGTTTCAGATCACTCACGGGTGTTCAGAGTGCAATTTTTAGAAATAGTCAATAAAAGGAATTATGTAAAAAAGAATAACAAAATTGTTATAGTGCATACTTTATGGACTTGGTTAATTGAAAGTAAGTACACTGGCAAACACAATTTGTCAATCAATAGTTCTTATGATCTAAGTGTTATAATGTATTAGACATATCATTTTAAAATTTATGAGTATTTATAATGTATAAATATAAAAACAACCTTCAAAATGCTTATATGAAACTTTTACTGAATAAAAATAACAGAGGTGGGCAAAGGTAGTCCTTTTGCCTTCCTCAACTATTCCATTAAATGCCATTGCATTTTTCTATCATGTTGTTAATTTTGAAAAATCAGCTGAATTGAAGTCGATTTCATGTGCAACAGTGCTTCCTGATGAAATAGGAATTTTAGGGGGATATAGGCAGGTTTAGGAAATTTTTAGAATTGGGAGATCATGAAAAAATCACAGGGCTACTGACTGGGAGAAGGTACATTCCCAGAACACAAGGGAGACAGGTGCAGTTACATTTCAATAAGACAAGGGAGCAGCAACAGTTACATTTTCATAAGACAAGAGAGAGACCACAGTTACATTTACATAAGACAAGGGAACTGAGAGTAGCCAAAAGGTCTATATTTGCAAAATAAAGAAGGAGGAAGAAAGCCCAAAAGGAACAGGAGAACAAAGAGGGAGGAGGGCCACACATGTCCCCTGTGATATTTGACCTTTGAGCTTAGGAGTTACTATAGTAACCAATTCAAAAGGAAATATTGACCAATCAGAGGGAATATCAGGACATAAGTATTGCAGTCTTTATAAAACCTGGAAACAGAAAGTCAGTGGGACTCTTTCCCTCTTCCCAGGTGGGAGTCTGTGCTGTGAAATTCTTTCCTCTTCCCCACCTGGGAGTCTGTACGTGTTCTTCAATAAAACTCTACCTTTGCTATACCATCTTCTGTCTGTTGATTGATTCTTTGATTCCTATGGACAAAGAATCCAGGGAACCATCCTACACACCAGAACATTGCGTGTTCCAGTCCAAAAATCATGTATCACTGAATAGAGATGTAGTAAACAATAATGTTGTGAAATGATTTCCATACTGACATTCACTCAGAATGTTGTCTATTGAAATTAGGTTCTTCCACGAATGACTAGAAAAGTTTCACAGATTCATTCATGCATGGGAGATTGTGGTGTGGCCAGATGATTTCTTTGTGATGCAAAAATCAAAGAAGTTCCCCTCTGGCTTTTCAATTCCCCATCATCCTCCCACCTGCACAGAAAAAGTCCTACTGTGGTTTCACAAGGCCAAGAGAAAGGCCAGTATCCAGAGTTTTCATTGCATATTAACGCCTATCCTTTAGAGTACATGTGTCAAACACAAGGCCCGCGGGCCAAATCCGTCCTGCCAGGCCTTGCAATGTGGCCCGCACCGCGCTGTCATCACTGCACTCCGCTGCGTTTCCATCACAATGACAGTTTATGACTGTTCAGTAAACCATTTGGCCCGCGATTTAGGCTGGATTTTAGATTTTGGCCCCTTCTCTGAGTTCGACACCCCTACTTTAGAGCCTACGTGGTCTGCAGTTGCTGCTAGAACCACATGGTCCCTGTTAGGGAGGAGGGGAGAACACTAAAGAATTAGGTGAGTGTGAGTCTCAGAGCGAGCAGGGAGCAATAAAGGGGGGTGGGAGAAGAGAAAGAGAGAGAGAGATTCTTTGTTCACTTGATATTTTAACTAGGAACTTTTTCAACATACTCACTCAGCTTTCCAAGCTTTTGCAGGCTTCTGACAGATACACGTCCTAACCAATGATTCCTTTCTCAGGTTAGACTGACAGGCCTCTATGGTTAAGCACCTGCCCTTTTACCAGTTAGACTTCTATTGTGCATGTGGTTATTCTCCCGTTGTTCTACCCCTTCCCCAGTGATCTGTGGGGAGTGGACTGGGGTTCTCTGGGGGGGGGGGGGGGGGGGGAGGTAATGTAAAGCTGTAACTTCCTGGAGAATCAAGCATTCCTCTGCTTCCCAGCTGACCGTGCTCGACAATGTGGGACTTCTCTTTTGCTTCTCATTAATGTTTAGCTAACTATGGTAACAAGACCAGACATGCAGTTTTGGCTCTACTACTAATTAATCTTGTCTTTTACCTTCTTGTGCTCTCTGTTTCCCTCTTTGCAAAATGAAGAAAGCAAACCAAGGCTATGTGCTTACAGGAAAACAAGGCAATGGGATGCTGGGATGCAACTTCTAGATTAGAAACCCATTCATTTGGAGCATCCCTTTGTGGGTAAGTACAGAATGTTCCCTTTGGTAGGCTTGAAATTGAGAGGAAATTACCAGGATATGTGAGCTTTGTTTCTATTTTTAAGAATTATAATTATCCTTTGTAGATTCCCCCCCCCTTTTTTTTTTCTTTTTTTTTTTTTTCCTACAGAGATGATTTCTTTTTAAATTTGTTCTGTTTCTTCTGAGGATTTATATTTGTTTTCTGATTATACTTTGCCAATATTTAGGGTAAAACTTATTTTAGTTTGGATTCTTTTTCTTTTCATTTATATTTTTGTCTTTTCCTTACATTGTCTCTGAATTGATTTTCTGCAGCATCAATTATGCTCTTTAACAACAATTACATATTTTACTTTCTTATATTATTTTTTGAAATTAGTGGAATTTTTAAAAATAAGTTTTATGTTATCTCCTGCATACTGAAAACATTTGTTGAATATTGACTTTCCACCCTGTCTCATCTTGTTGACTCATGTTTATTTTTTATAGATGTCAATTTTATTTGTATCTTGCTGAGAACATGTAATTGGTGTTTCAGTTGATGTTATTAATGTCCTCTTTCTTCCTGAAAACAATTTCCAAAATTATGCTCTTGTTTTCATGCTTCATGAGAGTTCTTGCTTTTTCTAGTGCTTCATTTTATTTGTTTGCTTGATTACTCTGCAAATAAGGTGTTGAATATTCATGTGTCCTAGGCTGGGGCATGATGAGTCTGGCTTAGCCTTAGGTGGATATCAGACTGTCCTAACCTTCACTGAGCTTATTCTCCTCTAGGGTGCTATAAAAGTCCCCACTGGGTCTAGACCAGGAGGTCAGGTTGATGCACAAAGATCCTAACTCTGTGATATCCATTAGCGATGAGTCAAATGTTGGGCTGGTGGACTGAGGCTCACTTTCCTGCAAGTTCTCTTATTTGGGAGTCTCCATGTTCTTTTCTCAGCCTCTGGAGAATCAATGTTGTGGATGGGTCAGCCCTGTGGCTCTTATTATGATAGCAAGATGTCCTTAGCAATAATCAGGAAACTTTGAAAGAGACATAGTTTATTATAGATAAGACCTGGAAATTACATGGACATATGTGGTCATACAGCAAGGTCACAGGGAGAGAAAGAGAAAGAATGAGAAAAATAGGCCTGAGATTCTAGTTTCATTGAGGTCAAGGAGTCTAGGATTTTGCAGGCTCATTTTCTCTATTTATTTTTTAATATGTTCATATTGATTTTTAGAGATAGAGGAAGGGATAGAGACATAGAAACATCAAATCAGCTGCCTCTTGCATGACCCCTATCAGGGATCAAGCTCAAAACCTGGGCATGTACCCTGACCAAGAATTGAACTGGCTCATGTTTCCTGGGTGGAGGCTCAACCTCTTAGCCACACTGGCTGGGCTGCAGGCTCATTCTTTATTGGTGAATTTAAAATGAAGAAGAGATTCCTAACCGGTTTGGCTCAGTGGTTGGCCTTGCATACTGTAGTGTCCCAGGTTCCATTCTGGTCAAGGGCACATGCTCAGGTTGTGGGCAACATCCCCAGCAGAGGGCATGCAGGAGGCGGTGGCCAATCAATGATTCTCTCTGACCATTGATGTTTTTCTTTCTCTCTGCCTCTTCCCTCTTCTCTGAAATCAACAGAAATATATTTAAAATAATAATAATAATAAAATAATTAAGAAGAGGAAAAACAATTGGCCCAAATGGTCACTTATCAAAATCTCTAAAACAAAGCAATGAGGAGTAGTGGCCCTCTTCATCTACTCTGTGGCTGGCAGTGTGGCCTCCTTGAAGTGGATGCCTCAGCCATCATAGCCGGCATTTGATTACAAAAAAGAAAACCCAGCTGTCAGGGTTTACACTTTAGTTTTGCACTAAGAATAATGATATGAACACCACACCTCAAAGCACCCAGTGCTTCTGGTGCTTTTCTGATCTTTCTTTTCTGACACGTTTTTCCCTTGGCAACTTAGCATTGAGAGGGCAGGGTGGGGCAAGGACAAACTCCTGACTCCACTGAGGGGCAGGGCGGAATTATCCTCCATTTTGTAACTGAACCCTAGCTCTCATCCAACCAATCAGGGTTAGCCAAGGCAGTGACATCACCACCAACCGGAGTAAAACCCCTGGGCAGGGCGAAATTTGCGCTCTTCCGCCATGCTGCCGGCGTGAGTGGGACAGAGCCCATGCTAGCATGGAAAAGGCTCTTTTGTTTATTGCATCGGACTCGGCTCCCTGGTGGTCCTTGGGTATCATGAAGTCTGGGCGTAACAGCATCACATGTTACAATAAGCTTCTGTGTCACATCCTAGTTCCTTCCATGACAACTACTGGGTGTTGTGTCATTGAAAGCATCCATATAGGAAAAATAACTAACAAGGGTAGAGTGGGTGACTGACTGTCACCAAAGATAAGGGCCCAGTATTGGGGAGTATGAATGGCGATTTTGTGTATCATGAAATTAGAGGGGAGCAGCAGGATCGTGCTGAGGTCAGTATCTTTTTCAAGCTCTCTTAAAAAAATGGGGAGGGAGGCGATGTAGGGAAAAGGTGTTTCTCTGCAGTGCTGTAATTGGAGTGTGGAGGTGTGGTGGGTATTTCAAGGATGCGTTTCTCAACACATTACCAAGGAAAGGCACTAAGTGGGAATGGCTCTGGACTTTAACACATAGGCCTCTTTTACATTTAGTTTACTCTACCATTTTCAGCTTTTGACAACTAGCCTTGCTGAATGTTTTCATGGATATTGACTATGAAGTTGAGAAGAGGCCCATCACTCACTACAGAATATCTACATGTGAAGCAAAGAGCTTTTGAAGCTCATCTAAAATCAAAGCCACTATTTCATATTGCTAGTTATATATATCCATATTTCCTCTAAGCCTTCTGTGACAGTTATTAGATTGAACTCTAAAAATTTGAGAGTATATTGAAAACAGATAAAGAAGCACTTTCATAGAGAAATAATAAGTCATAGCTGTAAAGAATCCAGAGTCTCAACTTTTATTATTAGTCTACTTTTAAGTTCTTCCAGCTCTATAAAATTTAAAAGGCAATGATAATCAGAGAAATTACCTATTTACATTTTCAATAAATAATTTCCAAATTTTCATGTATTTACATTATATCTTGTATCCAATTGTACATAAAGGCTTATATTGATTATAAATAAATACATAAATGGACTAGACTTAGGGAAGAACTTTGAACTTGAAATCAAGAATTTTTCAGATCCATCAACAACTATATTGTATATTAATCATTAATCATGAAATGATGGAATTTTAAAACCCCCTTATGAATCAATTGGATCCACCACAGTTTTTTAAGCCACTCATCTGCTGATGGGCACCTAGGCTGTTTCCAAATCTTAGCTATTATAAGTTATGCTGCTATGAACATAGGGGTGCATATATCCTTTCTGATTGGTGTATTAATATTTGATTTCTTGGGATATATTCCTAGAAGTGGGATTACTGGGTCAAATGGTAGTTCCATTTTTAACTTTTCGAGGAAATGCCATACTGTCTTCCACAGTGGCTGCACCAGTTTGCATTCCCACCAGCAGTCCTTGAGGGTTTCTTTTTCTCCTCATGCTCACTAGCACTGTCATTTGTTGATTTGTTGATGGTAGCCATTCTGACAGGTATAAGATGATATTTCATTGTTGCTTTGATTTGCATCTCTATGATGATTAACCTTGAGCATGTTTTACTTGAGCATGTTTTCATATGTCTCTCAGTCTTCTGTATGTCCTCTTTTGAAAAATGTCTATTTAGGTCCTTTACCCATTTTTTGATTGGATTCTTTATCTTCCTTTTGTTAAGTTGTATGATTTCTCTTTAAATTTTGGAGGTTAAAGCCTTATCTGAAATAGCATTAGCAAATATGTTTTCTTATGCAGTGGGCTTTCTTGTTGTTTTGTTGATGGTTTTTTTTTTTTTCCTGTGCAGAAACTTTTTATTTTGATGTAGTCCCATTTGTTTATTTTCTTAGTTTCCATTGCCGTAGGACCTGAGGTACATCTATGCAATGGAATACTATGCCGCTATAAAAAAGAAAGAACTTTTAGCATTTGCAACAGCATAGATGCAAAGTAAGCCAATCGAAGAAAGATAAATATCACAGGATCTCACTCATATGTGGGATATAATGATCAACATAATTTGATGAACAAAAATAGATCCAGAGATAAATGGCAGGGGAGATGAGGGGTTAGAGAACCACGAAAGGACTTGTATGCATGCATATTAGCATAACCAATGGACACAGACACAGGGGTGGTGGGGGCTTGCTTGGGGTGGGAATGGCTGGGGCGGGGAGTTAGTTGGGGTGAAAAGGAGACATGCAAAACTTTAGACAATAAATAAAATAAATAAAAAAGAATCAATTGGAAGGATGATTCAATGGACTAAAAACTGCATCTGCTTTTGATAAATTTAAAAGTGTGATGCCCCTTACAGAATATGATAATCACTAGACATTTTGATAATCACTAGAAAATGTTTTCCTATTCAAATTGATGTGGGGGGCCATCAAGTTTTAATATACATAATTTAGTATCTTTGTTACTATAAGAACATATTATTAAATATGCAATATAAAACTACAGCCTACAAATTTTGGCATCCCATCCCCTAAGTTAAAAATAAATTATTTAGATTAATCTCTTGATTTTAGACAGAGTAAAATCTTACTATACCATCTCGTCACATGTTGTACTAATTGTTAGTGGAGGACCCCAGGTCCCGACTCAGCCTTTGCACAACATTATGCAGCCTAGCAAGACAGGGCCTCAAATTGACATCATTCAATCAGAACTCTACTCTTTTCTGGCTTTCCTTTGTTAAGACTGTATTGAGCTGCTCTGCTACCCTTATCTCTCTCTTTTTTTTCTTTATTGATTAAGGTATTACATATGTATCCTTATCTCCCCATTGCCCACCCCCCTCCACCCATGCTCTCACCCCCCTGGTGTCTGTGTCCATTGGTTATGCTTATATGTATGTATA